AGCTCCCACAAAATAAGAAAAGTGACCAGATAGTTTACAGACAAAGCAAGCCAAACAGCTCTTCAACATATGATGCTCAACCTCACTCGTATGATAAATGCAAATTAAAACTACGCAAGCTACCCAACAACAGCAGAACACACATTCTTCTCAAGTACACATGGAACATTCTCCAGGACAGACCATATGCTACACCATAAAACAAGCCTCAATAAATTTAAAAGGAGTGAAATCATACAAAGTATGTTTCCAACCATGAGAGAAGGAAATAAGAAATCAATAACAGAGACAAATTTGGGAAATTACAAAGATGTCAAAACTAAACAACACACTCCTCAATAACCAATAAATCAAAGAATAAATCACAAAAAAATCAGAAAATACTTTGAGATGAATGAAAATGAGAACGCAACATATCAAAATGTACGGAGGTAGTAAAAGAGAACTTAAAAAGGGAAATTTATAAATATAAATGCCTAGATTAAAACAGAACATCTCAAATCAATAACCTAACCTCTACCTTAAAACACTGGGAAAAGAACCCAAAGCAAGGAAAAGCAAGGAAACAATAAAGATTAGAACAGAAGTTAATGAAAAAGAAAATGCCTTAAAATAGAGGGAAAAAAGCCTAAAAGTTGCTTCTTTGAAGAGATAAACGAAATTGACAAACCTTTACCTAGACTGTACAAGCAAAAAAGAGAGAAGATAAATTTCTAAAATCAGCAGTGAAAGAGAAGACATCACTACTATTCTTAAAGAAGTGAAGATTATATGAGAATAGTAGGGACAACTCCAGGCCAACAAATTAAATAACTTAGATAAAATGGGTGAATTCCTAGAAAACACAAACTACCAAAACTAAAAATAGAAAATCTTAATGAATCTAAAGTAAGTGAAGAGACTGAATTAGTAATTTTAAAATTTTTCACAAAAAAATACTCCAGACCCAGATAGCTTCACTGGCGAATTTTACCAAACATTTAAAGCGTTAATATCCATTCTTCACTAGAGAACATTTCCCAACTCGTTCTATGAAGCCAGTGTTACCCTGAGAGCATAACCAGACAAAGACATCATCAGAAAACTACAAACCAATATCTCATATGAATATGGATGTAAAAATCATCTACAAAATAGTAGAAAACTGTATCCAACCATGACCGAGTGAGATTTATCTCAGGAATACAATTTTGGTTTAACTTCTCTTTTTTTTTTTTCAGACAGAGTCTCACTTTGTTGCCCAGGCTGGAGTGAGTGCCGTGGCATCAGCCTAGCTCACAGGAACCTCAAACTCCTGGGCTCAAGCGATCCTACTGCCTCAGCCTCCCAAGTAGCTGGGACTACAGGCAAGTGCCACCATGTCTGGCTAATTTTTTCTATATATATTAGTTGGCCAATTAATTTCTTTCTATTTATAGTAGAGATGGAGTCTCGCTCAGGCTGGTTTCGAACTCCTGACCTTGAGCAATCTGCCCGCCTTGGCCTCCCAGAGTGCTAGGATTACAGGCGTGAGCCACCATGCCCAACCTTGGTTTAACTTCTGAAAATCAATTAATGTAATGTACCATACAAGTAGAATAAAGGACAAAAACCATATAATAATCTCAATACATTCAGCAAAAGCATTTGACAAAATCCAACACCACTTCATGACAGAAACAATAGAAGGGAATTTCCTCAAGCTGAGAAAGGGCAGCTGTGAAAAACTCACAGCTACATCATATTTAACAGTAAAAGACTGAGCGCTGTCCCCCTAAAATCAGGAATGCAACAGGGATGTCCATTCTCACCACTTCTATGCAAGATTGTGCTAGGCCGGGCATGGTGGCTCACGCCTATAATCCTAGCACTCTGGGAGGCCAAGGCTAGAGGATCACTTGAGGCCAGGAGTTCAAGGCCAGCCTCAGCAAGACCAAGACCCTATCTCTATTAAAAATAGAAAGAAATTAGCCAGACAACTAAAAATAGAAAAAAAAAATTAGTCAAGTGTGGTGGTGCACGCCTGTAGTCCAAGCTACTTGGGAGGCTGAGGCAGAAGAATCACTTCAGCCAAGGAGTTTGAGGTTGCTGTGAGCTAGGATGACACTACGGCACTCCAGCCCAGGCAACAGAGTGAGACTCTGTCTCAAAAAAAAATAAAATAAAATAATTGTGCTGGAGGTTCTAGTCTGAGCAATTAGGGAAGAAAGTGAAATATGAGGTCCAAATTAGAAAGGAAGAAGTAAAACTATCTCTATTTGCAGATAACATGATCTTATGTATAAAAAATCCTAAGAATTCTACTAAAAATTATTAAAACTAATAAACAAGTTCAACAAGGTTGCAAGGTACAAGATCGATACATAAAAATAAACCGTATTGTTATACACTAGCAATGAACAATTCACAAATAAAATTAAGAAAACAATTTACAATAGTTGGGCACAGTGGCTCATACCTGTAATCCCAGCACTATAGGAGGCCAAGACAGGAGGATTGCTTGAAGCCAGGAGTTCGACACCAGCCTGGGCAACATAGAAAGACCCCGTCTATACAAAAAATAGAAAAATTAGCCAGACGTGATGGCATAGATCTGTAGTCTCAACTACTCAGGAGGCTAAGGCAGGAGGATCCCTTGAGCCCAGGAATTGGAGGTGCAGTGAGCTATGATGACACCACTGTACTCCAGCCTAGACAACAGAGAAACACCCTGTCTCTTAAAAAAAGAAAAAAAAAAGTGTGTGTGTGTGTGTGTGTGTGTGTAGGCATAAATTTCATGACCTTGGATTACAATGATTTCTTAGATATGATACCTAGAGCACAAGCAACAAAAGGAAAAACAGATAAACTGGACTTCATAAAAATTACAACCTTTTATGTTCCAAAGGACACCAACAAGAAATTAAAAAGAAAACTCACAGAATGGGAGAAAATGTTTGTAAATCATATATATGATAAGAGACTTATATTTAGATTATATAAAAATCTCTTACAACACAACAACAAAAAGACAAAACAACCCAATTTTTACATGGGCACCAGCCCTGAATAGACATTTTTCCAAACAAGATATACAATGAGCACATGAAAAGATGCTCGACATCACTAGTCATTAGGGAAATGCAAATGAAAACCACAATGAGATACCATTTGCGCTCCCTGGAATGGCTAGAATCAAAAAGACAAGCGTTGGCAAGGACGTGCAGAAATGGAAGCCTCCATACATGGCTTGTAGGAATGTAAAACGATGCAGCTGCTTTGGAAAACAGTCTGGCAGTTCCTCAAAAGGTTAAACATGGAGCTACCATATGATCCAGCAATTCCACTCCTAGGTATTTACCCAAGAGAAGTGAAAACATATGTCCACACAAAAACTTGCACGTGAATGTCCACAGCAGCATTACTCATACTGGCCAAAGAGTGGAAACAACCCAAACATCCATCAGCTGAAGAATGGATAAATAAAATATGGCATATGCATATAATAAAATATTATTTGGCAAGAAAAAGGCACGAAGCATTGATACATGTGACAACATGAGTGAATCTTGACAACATTATGCTAAGTGAAAGAAGCCAGTCATAAAACAACCACATATTGTACGATTCCATTTATGTGAAATGTCTAGAATATGCAAATCTATAGAAACAGAAAGAAACTAGATTAATTGTTCCCTAGGCCTGGGGGAGGGAAGTTTAGGGGGAAGTGGAGAATGACTATAATTTGTACCCAGTTTCCTTTTGGGGTAATGAAAATGTTCTTTTTTTTTTTGTTTTGAGAACTCTCAAACTACAAAATGTTCTAAAATAGACTGTGGTGATGGTTGCACAACTCGGTGAATATACTAAAAACCACTAAATTGTATACTTTAAATGGATGAATTATATGGGATGTGAATTTTATCTCAATAAAGCTGTAATGTATTTTTTTAAAAAACTACATTGGAAGCCACTGTTCTATCAGATTGGCAAATTGGCACCTATCAGACTTATCACAAAATTCAATAATATCCTGTGTTGGTGAGAGTGGGGAAAACCAGGAGGCGTGGCACAACAGCACACCTCTCTGAAAGACAATCTGACAATATCTATCAAAATTACAAATGCATACACCTACTGCCCCTGCAATCTGGGATCAACCCTAGAGGAATCCTCACACACAAACACTAAGCATATGATTGGAGATATGCACTGCAGAATTGTCTGCGACAAACAAAAACCTGGAAACAACTCAGATATCTTTCACTAATTAAATAAAACCTTGCCTCCATGCACTCAATGGAATACTATGCAACCACGAAAAAGAAATGCATGGCACAAACTGATCCCCGAGGTACACTCTCAAGAGAAAAGAGTAGTCAGCTGTAGAACAGAGTAGATGCTATGCTGTCATTTGTTTTAAAAAATATTTTATTCTCTGGCTGGGAACGGTACCTCATGCCTGTAATCCTAGCACTCTGGGAGGCCGAGGCGGGAGGATCGCTTGAGCTCAAGAGTTCGAAACCAGCCTGAGCAAGAGCGAGACCCCCGTCTCTACTAAAAGAGGAAAAATTAGCCCGGCATGGTGGCACATGCTTGTAGTCCCAGCTATTCAGGAGGTTGAGGCAAGAGGATCGCTTGAGGCCAGGAGTTTGAGGTTGCAGTGAGCTGTGATGATACCACTGCACTCTACCCTGGGCAACAGAGAAAGACCTTGTCTAAAAATATATATATATATTTTTTTATTTGCAAATGTTTAATATTGAGTAAAATGCAGAAGTTAAAAATATCAATACCCAGCACTTCATTATTGAAATTCACAGTATGTTTAGCTACACATGCGTATCCATGCCTGGATCTCCCTGGAAGGAAAACTGTAGAAATTCTCTGAAGTGGTTGCCCCTGGCTAGGAGACCTGGGTAGGCAGGAAAGACTGACTTCTCCCTGTCTCCTTTTAGATTCTTTGAATTGTTTTGTACTCTGTGTGTAGGTGTGTGTTTTAATGGTTTTTCTTTCCTTTCTAAGAAAAAACACAGGCTTACCTGGTTTCAAGTTCTGGCTCTGGCTCTCATAGCGGGACCAGTCACTTCACTTTTCTGCGCCTTGTGTTCTGCTCTATAAAGGGAAGGACAAGACGAACAGCTATGTCGCAGGGTTGTTGTGGAGGGTTAGATAAGACAATGCAAGCACAGGTCCTTGCTGGGTACTGATCTGCTGCTAGGACCCCAAGGCGGACTGTGCCAGGTACCACCAGACAGCCTCAGACCCGGGTTCAGAGATCCCCTCCAGCGGGGAGAAACTGGGGCAGGCTTCCCGGGAGAGGCAGCGTTTGAGAGGGGCTTCAAGACAAGCAGGATTTCCACCAGTATAGATGAATGGGGGTGATGATCCTGGCGGGGAGCCACGCAAGGAAGTAGGCAGGAAGTAGGAAAGCCCTGGATATTCATTCAGTCACTGCGCAGTCTCCGGCTCCTTCCACAAAGCTTAGCTGAGCACCTGCTACCCACCAGACACTGCAGGAGGACAGATACCAAAAGGCTAACAGCTGGGCTAGCCTAGGGACGAATTACAGAAGCTGCAGTGACAGTGACCACGAGGGGCTGGGACAGAGCTTTGCCCAGGTCCCAGTGCTCATAGAGCAGACCAGGCTCAGAGAAGGAGAGGGACTGCCCGAGATCACACAGCATGTTCTCAACTTCTGAAAATAACCTCTCTCCGCTCTGTCCTCTCCTCATCCCCTAGACCTGCAAAAGGAAAACAGGGACCCTCCTGCCATGCATTCACCACAGGGTACACTGGGGGCCCCCCGAGAGGAGGGACAGCTGGCTCTCAGAAGGTAACAGCACCGGGTGCAGCAGGCACCACGCTAAGTGCGCTCTAGAAGCATGAGCCCCGGCACACCCGCCCCAGTCCTCTGTGGTCGGCCCATTTTGCAATGAGGAAACTGAGGCGCAGAGATCTAGCTGCTTGTCTAATGTCACATAGCTCGTAAAAGTCAGCGTCAGGAGGCCACCTGGATTGTCTGGGCTCCCAGTCTCTTCCCCAGGGCCCCTTCCCTAAAGGGGGCACCTGCAGGGCCTCTGACGACAATCCGCAATCGCACCTCTCGGAAGGGCCCTAGGTGGAGGCTGTCCTCAGCTGGTCCAGGAATGTCCCTTGATAACAGTGGCCCAAGGGGGGCGGGGTGAGGAATGTGGTGGGGGACATGGGGGAGGAGGCGGCGGGTGGGGACCTGTTGGCCATGCATCTGCCAGAAGAGGGCAGAAGGCTGCACCAGGCACCTGCTCCCGCCAGGTGGGGGCATTGTGGTTAAGGGGGTCCTGGGCAAGTCACCACAGCTTCCTTTGGAACCGCAGACGCCCACATGGTCCTCGGGCAGTTGCAAAGGCGCGCGAGCTAATGTGCGAAGTCCCGGGCGCACGGGCCGTGCTGGGTAACGGGGGCTGTCGCTGCCAGCATTACCATTCTCATCGTCACAGTCAGCTCTCCAGTTCTCACCAGGACCCCGCTACACAGTGACAATCAGCCCCCTCTTCCAGAGGAGGGGACAGAGAGAGGCTCAGAGAAGCCTTGTCAGGTGCCTGGGCCACCATCCAAGACGGCAGAGGGCCGGCTGTGGTCCCTGCTCTCCTGGCCCCGGGCCACGGTTGGCACCTCTCACTGGGCCTACTGGTCCCAGCTGGGCTCGTGCAGGAAGTCCTTACACCAGGCACTAGGCAGTCCCTTAGCCCGCCCATTTTCCAAAGGGGAAATGGAGGCCCAGAGAGGGAGAGTGGCTGGCCCAAGGCCACACAGCAGGCCAGGAGTAGGGCAGGGAGCAGCCCCAAGCCTCCAGACCCAATAGACCTCCCCCTCCCACGCCGCCGGCCTCTGAGCTGAGCCGGCTAGCGTCAGCGCTGGGCAAGGAGCCTCAGAAGGACCAGTCTGCAGTGAGCATGTCACCCCTCGGACCTCACAGGGCTGGGGCGCAGCTGGTGCCACACACTCCTCAACAGCCCTAAGGGGCAGGTCCCCACCAGCAGTGGCCCTGTCCACAGAGGGGGAAACTGAGGCCGGGAAGGGCATGAGAGGGCACCAGCCCGACCTGCCCATTTTGCAGATGGGAACTGCGTCCCCTCTGGGCCCAGCGTCCTCTCCCTGCCTCCTGTGTGGCCTGCCACACCCCAGTGGAAGCTGCCCCCGGGCAGGAACCGTCACCTGGTTCTTTGCGTGTCCTTCACACCATCAAAAGAATTACCTGGGCCAGGCGAGGTGGCTCACGCCTGTAATCCTAGCTCTCTGGGAGGCCGAGGCGGGCGGATTGCTCAAGGTCAGGAGTTCAAAACCAGCCTGAGCAAGAGCGAGACCCTGTCTCTACTATAAATAGAAAGAAATTAATTGGCCAACTATATATAAAAAAAAAAAATTAGCTGGGCATGGTGGCGCATGCCTGTAGTCCCAGCTACTCAGGAGGCTGAGGCAGGAGGATCACTCGAGCCCAGGAAATTGAGGTTGCTGTGAGCTAGGCTGACACCACGGCACTCACTCTAGCCTGGGCAACAAAGCGAGACTCTGTCTCAAAAAAAAAAAAAAAAAGAATTACCTGCTCCGCTGGGTGTTTTTCTACAAGTGTAGAAATGTAGAAAGGACAGCAACTTCAGGGAGACTCTGAGTCACAGTAGTAGTAATAGCTAGCATCTATTTAGCACCTACTGTGTGCCATTATTACCGCACTCTACAGCTGAGACTGAAGCACAGACAGGTGAGATGATATGCCTAAGATCCCACTTCTCAGCAGCCGTGTGACAAGCCCCCGCGCCTCTGAGTGTCCCCCTGGCGGGGGCTGCCACCCAGAGCTGCCGGGAAAGACCAGCAGCTGGGACCAGGGTCTTCTTGACAGGGTCCAAGGTCAACTCAGCCCCTCCCCAGAACCCACGGTTGTCAGCTGCCCCGGTGCAGGCTGGGGTGGAATGGCGGATACGCTGTCCCCTGGGTGTCTCTCCGCCGCCCTCCCGCCTGGAGTCAGCACGGCCCTCCAATGCCCCCACGGCCCTGGCGCAGCGGCGGCCACACTCACTTTACACACGAGGACACAGGAGCTCCAGGAGGCCGCCCCGGCCAGAGAGGGGAACAGCCGGGGTGCAACCCAGACAACCCAGACCCGAGTAGCACCAAAGCCCCCCCACTGCACCTGCCAGGAGAGCAGGGTGGGGGTAGGGGCGGGGATGGGGGTGGGGGAATGGCCAGCCACAGAGGCCTGGCAGGGGCAGAGTGCAGGGGCTTATCGAGTCCCTGCTTCACGGGGTGGCTGCTGGCCCTTGGCCCAGGCACGAGGAGGGCAGGGGAGACCCCAAAAGGGGTCTGTTCAGCAATCCATGTCAGGAAGGCCTAAAAAACTGAGGGGGGCCGTGAGGATTTTCTCAGGTCCCTGGGGCTGGGGAGGTCACGGCACGGAGGCCCCTCCCACAGCGATCCCAACGGAGACACCTACATCACGGTGGCCTTACCCGAGGAGAGGACACCTCGGCTGAGGCCCGAAGGCGAGGCAGCTGTGCAGAGAAGGGGGAGCGCGGTCCAGGCGGATGGGACCGCTTGCTATGGCCTACAGGTGGCCGCTGGACAAAGGCAGAGGGCGGCGGTTTGAGTCAGGCAGCCTCAGTTTCCCCGGCAGCAAAATGGGGGAAAGACAGGCACACCGGGTGGCTCCCCTTCCGTACCTACTTCCTCCCACCCCTTCCCCCTCCTCCAAGGCCATGGCCGGGAGTGTGGTCACTGAGAAGGGGGCTGCTGGGTCCTCTTGGGGCCAGTGAGCTTGTAGGTTTGGGGAGCTTCACTGACCCCCGACCCCAGCCTCCAGCCCAGAGTCCACCGCCCGGCAGCCCCAAAGGGAGGTGCGCAGGGCTGCTCACGTGGCCAGGAGGTCACGACCCAACCGCAGGGAGCCGTTGGGAGATGTCCCCTTGCACAGGTGAGGCTGGGGCTCAAAGAGGGGCTGCCCAGCCCTGGGCCACACAGCAAGGCTGAGGCCTGCCCTCGAGCAAGGCTGTGCGCAGGGGCCCCGGCACCAAAGGTAAGATTCTTGGGGCGCCAGGCCCACGAGCGCTGTGCTAAGGAGGAGCTAGAAGGGGAGACACCGTCCCCAGGGGCCCACAGACCATGGGGGCCCAGCCTGCTGGGGGCTACCACCTGCGGCAGAGCGCAGGCCCCCGTCGCAATCTCTGCGACAAGTCACCACCCCAACCTGGGCCTCAGCGTCTGTGCCTGCACCCAGAGGGCCAGGCATGACAAGGATGCCTTAGCAGACAGCAGGCGCCCCCAGTACCAGGAGGTGACAGGCCTAAGGTCATCAATTCCGGCCCCCAGCTGCCCCGCCCCCGCTGGCTGATGGCTGGCGGGCCCTGGGGGTGCAGGCACCAGCCAGCCCTGCCCACGGCCCGCCGTTCCCTGCCAGCCGCTCCGGCTGCTTCTCTGCTCAGGGAACACGCAGTGCCACTCCTCCCCACCCACGCCGTGCGGGGACACTGGTGGGCAGGAGCACACAGCGGCCAGGCCCCTCTGCACAGTCCTCCCTGGCTGTGACTGCAGGAAGGTCCAGCTCCCTTTACTCAGCCACGAAACGGGGTCTCCGGCAGATCTGCGCCTGAGGAGGGGGCACGGTGGCCAGCAAGGTGGTCCAAACCTCCAAACCGCGGTCGCCCTGCCTGCTGCTCACAGGGCCAAGGCCAGACTCGGCTGGAGGAGCCCGCTGCGAGCTCCTGCCTCCCTCTCCCCTCCCCGCCCGTACCTCTCACCATCCTCCCGCCTCCGAGCCTTTGCACACCGCCCACCCCACCTCCGTGTCCCCCCCATGAACCCCAGGGTACCCTCTGGGCCTGATCACAGGCAGTACCTGACCTTGCTTGCTCCCCAGGCTGAGAGAGGTGAGAGAGGTACCCCCCTTTTCTGGTCTCACACAATCCCCATCACACGGGGATTAAGAGCTGGCCTGCTGGATTCAAAACCCTGCTCTGGACATTCCTTGCTGTGTGACCTTGGGAAAGTTACTCCACCTCTCTGTGCCTCTGTTTCCTCCCCTATTAAACAGGGATAAACATAATAACCTATTTCAGAGTTGTTGGGAGGATTAAATGAATTCA